GTTGCTTCCTGTAATAACCCACCCTGGCACTATTTATTCCTGTTCCCCAAATCACTTGGTAATTACTTGCTGGTAATTTGTATGGCTGCAATAGAAAACTAATACACCAAGTACTACAGTTACATAGTCTGTCTCTCATCCAATGAAGAAAGACCAAAAAATAGATAAAGGAATTGAGTACAAGATGCCTAGAAACTGAAACCCCTTGCCACACATTTAAAGATAAGGTGACAAAAAAGGGCTCAACTGAAACAGTCCCAGGAAAGACCAGTTCGACCCTGCACAGCCAGAGCAAATACTTGTCTGATGAGGGGAGGAAGCAAATGAAAGTACAACACAGAGAAGTCTCGGGAATTTCAGCCATTTTTTCCTATTGCACTCAAATTATAGTCTGTTCCATTCCAGTGCCTTCACAATTAAAACTTTGCAAAATCAATTTACTTTATGAATGATGTATTTTTTTTTATCATCTACATTTATAAATAGCCAGAGCTTCTACCATGTTGAAATATTTCTAGTTTTTCACTGCACAGGCTTTCTATGGCTTTCTGGCACCTGTAGCTAGATACTACCCTGCCTAAAGGTGAAGTTCATTTTCTGGTTCTTTTTTTCCCCTGTAGAGTATACAAACCCTCCTTCTTTCTGTTCCCTCCCACCATTTTCCTTTCCTGATTTCTCTGAGTTTAAGTTTGATTTTCTCTTTGTTATTTTGGGTTTTTTTTTTTTTTGCCTCTGCTTAACTTTTAAGCTTACAACTAAAAAAAAAGTTTGATAGATTTTATCATGTTGTTAGAGTAAAACCCAGCTACATTGTAAGTTTGTCCACAAAATATTCAATGTTAAAATACAACCAGTTAAATTACAGTTGACTCTTGAACAGCACAGGGATTAAGGGGTGCTGAACTCATGCAGTCAAAAATCTGCACATAACTTTTGACTCCCTAAAAAATGTAACTATTAATAACCTACTATTGACCAGAAGCCTAACTGAGAACATGGTCAATTGACACGTTTTATATGCTATGTGTATTAGGTACTGTATTCTTACAATAAAATATAAGCTGGAGAAAAGAAAATGGTTTTTTCAATTGTCACAAATCTCCAGAACATTTTCCAGTATGAGTATTGAAAAAAATCCACATATATGTGGACCCACACAGTTCAAACCCATGTTGTTCAAGGGTCAGCTGCATATTCTGGACCCAGGGAAATGTACTGTCATGCTTCATAGCAATATTTTCTGATATTATTTTCTAATAAAACTATAATATACATAACAATAATGTTAAAATTATCAACTTTTCTCAATAAAAGAGGCAGCAATTTTAAAGTAACATAATGTAGACCTTCTAGAAGAAAGAGGCATGAGGAAAGAATGATGAGTTGGTTCTTCAAGACCAGAATTTCTCCCGGCTTTGTGCCTCAGCAAGGAGGTAAAGCGCCCTACTGATACGGTGCTGTGCGTGCTATTCCTTTTCCCTTTTTCCTGTCTTCAAACACAAAACTTTAAAGTTATCTTGCTGTTGGTCAAAGGGTCTAATCAGTAATGTGAGATGAATAAGTGCTGGAGATCTAACATAGAGCATGATAACCACAGTTAATAATACTATGAAGACTATTTTGTATAATAGAAATTTTGAAATTTGCTGAGAGGTAATCCTAAGTGTTCTCACCACCAAAAAAAAAAAAAAATTTTTAGCCATGTGAGATAATGGATATGTTGATTCATTTGATTTTGGTAATCATTTCATAATGTATGCTTAGATCAAAACATCACAGAGCATACCTTACATATGTACAACATTTATTTTGTTATTTCTACTTTAATAAAGCTGGAAAAAATAAATAATTTTGAAGGTAAAACTAAGAGTTAAATGGGGAACATACATTTACCACTGGAAAATATCATGAATTTGTCTTTAGGTACCACAGGCTCCTTGTTCAAGGATCCTTCTCTGGCAAGGAGATTCTCTTCCAATTGTCTCTAAGTCTCTAAACCTGCATTTATTTACATTAAGGTAATATAAATCTAAGAATTTTTAAACTCCCAACCTTGGACTAAATTAAGCCTAGAGATTATATTGTTTGTTCTATGTAACACAGACTCCAACATTTTTTAACCAAGTTTTTTTTAATAATTAAAAACTGAAATATTTCACATAAAAAAACACATAAAATAGGTAATACTATAGGATGTGCATCAAATAGCTTCTGATCTTTTGATTGCAAAGTGCTGTCACTAGGTTATGAAAATGTTTTTGATACCTGGGGTATTTTTCCAAAAGAATCTCATTCAGAGTTGAAAGTTACAACTTTTACAGCTTTTGACACCCATCTAAGGTGTTTTTCCAAATTACCAGTCAACTTGTCACTAGTTTGCTTTCTTTTACTAATTACCTAGGTTGGAAGCTCAATGAATTTTGACATAAAACTGAAAAACAATATAAAGAACCTAAGAGAAATTTTGGAAATTTATACTATAATTGATTTGAAGAACTTAACCAGTGTGTTTTATCAGGAGTTAAAACAAAGTTGAATAGACAGTAGGTGAACTGGAAGATGGGCTAAAAGGAAATTCCCAACCTAAAGAATAAAGAGGAAAAAGATTAAAAATTGAGAGAAAAGTATATGAGGCATATATAACATAGTATAATAGTGTCTTGTAATTGGAATCTCAGAATAAGGGGGATGAGAATGGGACAGAACAGTATTTGAAGAGACTATAATTGAAAATTTACTAAAGTTGATGAAAGGCATCATCTCACATGTGAAATAGTAATGAGTTAAATAAGTAGAGCTGGCTTAAGTTGAGATGGCTGAAAGAAGGGCTTTAGCAGACATTACCCAGAGACAGTCTGCAATATATACTCCAAAGCTAAACTCCCAAGGTGTTGTTGTTTTTATTCATTAAACCACTGACATAATTTTCTTTGTTATCCCCAGTTGGCATGCACAAGACAGAATGTCCAGTCTGAATTTTTTACTATCGAACAACCAATTTGTTTAATTCTTAAAGAGTGTAAACAAGATTCAATATACTCAAATTTCCTGCAATATTTCCCTCTCCAGAATCTCCCCTTCAAATTATAAATCTTACTTGCTGTTTCTTAAAGACATGTAATGACTGTCACCTTCACATTTAAGTAAACATTCAGACCAATTAACATGCAAAGCAAAGAAGTGCATCTGAGTAGTCTGACACACAGATTAAAGAAGCATTGCAACTTCCAAATACGATAACAATACAAAGAAAAAAGCAACTCAGGGCTGTGACACAAAAAATGGCAATCTACAAAGACAAATATATAAATCTACAATCACACGTACAGATTTTAACATTCTCACCTCTGCTAGAACCATATGATAAACAGTAAGGACATGGAAAATATGAACAAATGATTAGCAAATCATACCAACATGATTATCAAATTTCAATCATAATTGAAAGAAATAGAACACATTGCAGTCAAAAACTTTGGAATATCTATTTTTTTCAAGTACCCACAAAACATTTATCAAAAGAGATCATATGCTGACTCTAATGGCTTAAGCTAAAAGCATTAGCAACAAGGACAACAAAATTAACTAGTAAATCCTCATGTATTTAGAAATGAAGCACTATGCTTCTAATAATCCATATTCAAAGAAGAAAGTATGATGAAATACAAAATATCATAATTAAACCATGATTGGTGGGAAAGTGATAGCCTTAAATACATACATTTTATAAGAATGACTGAAAATCACTGAAACCCATAGTAAAGAGTGAAAATAGGAAAGTACATTAATTCCAAATTAAGCAAAAGAGTGAAACAATAGAAGAGCAGAATTTACTGTTAAGAAAAAGCAAATAGAGAATGAAACATCAGTAAAGCCAGATAGATTTCTTAGTAACAAATTGGCAATGTCTGGAAGACACATCGGTGGGGTGGCAAAAGGCACTCTACAGCTTATTATGTTAGTATGGGTCATTCAGGAAGCAGACACCAAGACAGAATTAAAGGTACATGGATTTTATCTGGGAAATGTCTGTGACAGAAAAAAGTTGGGGGAGGTTGTGGAGAAGGCTGGGAGGGTTGTTGGACTGTGACGCATCTGTGACCGAAGTGGAAGAGGCAGCCATACAGACAAACACAAGGCGACTGCAAAATCCTCAGTCTTGACAATCAGCAGTTCCATGTGTCCCAGGACTGAGCCTCTCTAATATCTGCTATGCTCAGTATTGTCTGGGAGCAGCCCACAGAAAGTGGGCTCATCTCCGATAAACTGAGTCTAAAACCCAAGTGTTTCTCTGCCCCAGCTCAATATTGCTTAGCTCTTTGATTCTCCTCATAGGGCCCAAATTGATCTCCACTTGTGACTCTCTCTTGATTTGATGCCTTGCTGTCACCATATCATCAAATAATTGTCCAGGTTTTTCTCTGGTTCTAACCAATAATGATACTCAATTTATCTTGGCTGATAATTTTTGCTCTCCATTGGATCTGAAACATACTGTGTAACCGAATGTAATAGATGGACAGTAGTTTTGGAGAATGAGAAAACATGGTGAGAAGGTCAGTATTCAGTAGGTTCTTCATTAAAGTCAAAGCTGTGCTTCTGATCCACTGGCAAAGAAGTAAAATAATTTTATCTCTTTTCCCACCATTTGGGAAAAGTACTTGACCATCATTGCCAGAAACAAAACATACGATTATGACAGAGGAAAAGGAGGGGTTTTCCTGACTCTGATGGGACAGCATTAGTGTCATTATGTAGGTACATTATGTCATTTCTGATATAGGAGTAGTTCATTGGCTTTGGCTATAACACCAAAATTATAACACCCATAAATACAATGTGTGGAAAGCTATTCAACTGCAATTAAAGATGATACTAGTTCCACATACGTAAATGAGGGAGCACGAATATAAAGGATGACTCTCTAGGTTACCACACCTGTTGCTGACAGTATATATATGTCTCTGTCTAGAGGTAAAATTAAAACTCAGAATCTTCTCCCTGAACTCAGCTGAACTCAGGTCACTTGTCAACATGTCCTACAACTGCTGCTCCAGAAACTTCTCCTCCTGCTCCCTCGGGGGCTACCTGCGCTACCCAGGCTCTTCCTACCCAAGCAACCTGGTCTACAGCACCGACCTCTGCTCTCCCAACCCCTGCCAGCTGGGCTCCTCTGTCTACAGGGGCTGTCAGGAGGCCTGCCGTGAGCCTGCCAGGTGCCAGACGTCCTGTGTGGAGCCCAGCCCCTGCCAGGTGTCCTGCTACCGCCCAAGGACCTTCACGCTCTGCAGTCCCTCCCTGTCAACTTATTCTGGGTCTCTGGGCTGTGGGTCCAGCAGCTTCTCCTCCCAGGGCTGTGGACCCAATGGCTTCAGACCCCTGGGTTATGGAGTCTGTGGTTTCCCTTCTCTGAGCTATGCATCTAGATTGTACCCCCCAACCTGCTTTCCTTCCAGGAGTTTCTATTCATCTTGTTACTGATCACACTACAGGTCTGGCTTCTACTGACTAATGTGTAGCCATGCCAATTTCAGAAACACAGATTCTGTACTGATATTATCTGTTATCTAAAGTTCTTCTTTTGAAAAGTATCCTAATATTCCCTGATCACTGGTAACTCTTTACTTCTTCAGCCTTCACACTTGCTGATAGATTAACTCTGTCAAACTGAAAAATTAATGAGCAATTTGAAATGCACTGTTGATAGAACTGTTTTGAATTTCTCACAAAAATAGTTGGAAAGTCAAATAATTCTATTTTAATAAACTCTTCATTCTGTTATCCAAACATGCTGTTCATGTTGTTATTTACTATTAATGTGTCAACTAGGATTTGTGGTGTCATTACTTCTGTTAATGGACTTTGGAAAGCTCAGATTTTGGGGGCTATGCACTAATTTTGGTTGGGCTTAGATAATTCCTTCTTTTTAAGCAAGATTCCCACAGTTCGTAGGTACAACCTCTCTCTTAATGAAAATCTCAAGAGATTTGAATATCTTGTGCACATAATGAATATGGACCATGCATCTCTAAGAACACTCTATATTAAAGAGGTTTGATGAGTTTAGGAACAAAATTTAGATTTAGATGATGAAGCCTGTGCATGAAATTTATTAAAATGAAAGACTAGTGTGTGGGAGTAAATTCTTAGAAAAAGAGCACCTATGAGCTTCAGATAATCACCATGCAGGAAGGTCACATATCTTTTTAATTGACCCAATCCCTGTACTTCAATTACTATTTTCACTCTACTCAAATTACCTCTATTTGTATAAGAGCAGCATGGATGGGAAGAAACCTAGATGGTTGAAAGGACCAGGTTCAACAGGTATTAAGCTGCCCCTGGGTTCTTTACCAAAATATAAACTGAACCTAACTGCCAAAAAGAACCTTTAATGTCACTGAAAATTCCTCAGTTATATATTGACAAAAAATGGAATATCCTTTGTTTATACCATTCTTCTTTCTTCTTTTGAAAAGTATCCTAATATTCCCTGATCACTGGTAACTCTTTACTTCTTCAGCCTTCACACTTGCTGATAGATTAACTCTGTCAAACTGAAAAATTAATGAGCAATTTGAAATGCACTGTTGATAGAACTGTTTTGAATTTCTCACAAAAATAGTTGGAAAGTCAAATAATTCTATTTTAATAAACTCTTCATTCTGTTATCCAAACATGCTGTTCATGTTGTTATTTACTATTAATGTGTCAACTAGGATTTGTGGTGTCATTACTTCTGTTAATGGACTTTGGAAAGCTCAGATTTTGGGGGCTATGCACTAATTTTGGTTGGGCTTAGATAATTCCTTCTTTTTAAGCAAGATTCCCACAGTTCGTAGGTACAACCTCTCTCTTAATGAAAATCTCAAGAGATTTGAATATCTTGTGCACATAATGAATATGGACCATGCATCTCTAAGAACACTCTATATTAAAGAGGTTTGATGAGTTTAGGAACAAAATTTAGATTTAGATGATGAAGCCTGTGCATGAAATTTATTAAAATGAAAGACTAGTGTGTGGGAGTAAATTCTTAGAAAAAGAGCACCTATGAGCTTCAGATAATCACCATGCAGGAAGGTCACATATCTTTTTAATTGACCCAATCCCTGTACTTCAATTACTATTTTCACTCTACTCAAATTACCTCTATTTGTATAAGAGCAGCATGGATGGGAAGAAACCTAGATGGTTGAAAGGACCAGGTTCAACAGGTATTAAGCTGCCCCTGGGTTCTTTACCAAAATATAAACTGAACCTAACTGCCAAAAAGAACCTTTAATGTCACTGAAAATTCCTCAGTTATATATTGACAAAAAATGGAATATCCTTTGTTTATACCATTCTTCTCCCTTATCTCTAAGTGTTATGAAAGTAAGGTACTATCATAGATAGTATGTTAATAATCAGAGACATAATCTTTATATAAAACAAACAATGTTTGAATATTTTTCCTATTCTTTATTTTATAAGATCCTCAAACATCCCTGAAATTAGGAAATGGAATACAGAGCATTGGAGACTTGACAAAAATCCCAATCTTACATGTATTTTTCAGTCATCTCTTCATGTTCTCTTAATTTCCTCCCTTACTACCAAAGTGTTACAATAGGAAATATAAAAGAAGCTGTGGAGGTCATCAAATTCAGCCTGTTTATTCTATAGAGGTGGAAATTAAAACACGGAAAAGTTAGAATTTTACAAGATTATAAGGCAAGTTATTGTAGACTTATAAGTAGAACTACTTTTTTTTCTATCCAACTATTCCATTCTTTCTTATGTCCTCTTTTTCCCTCACGTGGTCCCTCTCTTCCCCATCTCCTTCTCCCTCTCTCCTCTCTCCACCAGGTTTAGGAAATAATTATGGTGCTTATATATCATCAGAGAAAAGAATAAAGACATAATAAAAGAAAATTTGGGGGAAAAATTCATCAGCCATTGCAGTATAAAATTTAAAATGGTAAATAGTGAACTCCTCTGTAAACAGTCCTGCTCATGACTTTTAATGATCCAAGTCGGTTTTATGCTTATAATCTTTAACCAAGAGAAATAAATCAAATTTCTTACCCCAAAACATAAGCAATGGCAAAGCACTCATGGGAAACAGCTGCAACATTTTGGACAAATTGAGGCCTCTTCTGTTAATATCTCAATTTCAGATGCAGGAGTGGTAAGTTTTATGGCTTTTGGGAATATATGACTGCTATAACAAATTATATCAAAACTACTGGTTTGAACAATATGAATTTATTATTGCACAATTCTGTAAGTCGAAAGTCACATAGTCACATTGGGCTAAAAGCAAAGGCTGGCAGGGCTGCATTCCTTTCCAAAGGCTCTAGGGAAGAGTCTATTTAGTTGCCTTTTTTAGTTTTCTAGAGGCCAACCTGCATTTCTTAGCCCCCACCCAGCTTCCTCCATCTTCAGAGCCAGTAACAGTGTCAACTCATCTTGTGCTGCATGACTCTCGCCTAATCTTCCACCTCTCTTTCATTTCTAAGGATGCTTATGAGTATATTAGGCCCACCTGGTAATCCTCTTGGCTTAAGGTCAGCTGAGGAGCAACTTGAATTCCATCTCCTACCTTAATTACCCTTGCCACATAAAATAACACTTTCACCAGTCCCATGGTTCGGGATATGTATATCTTTGAGGGGTCATTATTCTGCCTACCAAAACTAGTAAACTAGCAAATTCTACAAACAACAACTTGAGGACTGATTAACTGTACATAGTACTACAATAAAGTGCTCACAAACAGTAAAATTCAATGAACTTGTAATACAACAATCACAGTTGAAGTTATATATTGTATTCGATTTTAATTGATAGTCAAGATAGGGAAACTGTATGATTTTATAAGAAACTTACAACTCCTGAGCTGATGTCTTACCATTACCATTCAGGAAACTGGACCCTCCTCTGTTCCAAGTTTCTGACACATTCTACATTTCCCATAGTACAGGTTTTATTCTTTCTGTTTCAACAATTAATTATAGTACAGTGAATTGAGGTTGCCCAAATTTCACCAAGTTAATCTCACTCTACACACAATTAATGGGAGACCAGCTGGCACTTACCTGGCTTCCACCTAGTTTCTTCTAATCCTACAGCTTCCTCCTGCTGCACTTCTTGTCAGGTGCAGAACAGCATAGACTGTGAACTCAGGGGTTTATGTCTCAAACTTTTACTGCCCACATAGCTAAAGTTCCAGAAAGTGCTGAGCATCTGTCTACCAACTGGTTTCCAGTTCTGATTTCCACGAATAAATGTAACCAATTTCCCAGAAAATCCTCTCATTAATCATTCCTAGGAGCTTGATTTCAATAATTTCTATTCACTAATGTTGATCTCATTAGGATTTACAGACAGTAACTTTATCCTCCCCAGCTTCCTTCCTGTCAGTGTGTTGTGTGTGTGTGTGTGTGTGTGTGTGTGTGTTTAATCACGCTACAGAACACATTGTCAGACATTTTGTGAGTACCACCATTTTCCACAATATTTTCATGGAGCCTTTACCATGAGCCAAAATCTGTGCTCTGGAAATATGCTGTTGGATATATTTTTAAAAATAAGATTATATTTGTGTATTACTCTATAATAAAAAATAGATTAATAAAATGTGTGGTCTGTTCTAACTGGACTGAAAGTCTTACAGAGAAAGCAACTACTAAATAAATAATTATTTAACTACAATAACAATGAACTGTGAATGAGTTATTGATGCTAAAGTAACATATATCAAGGGAACGTCACCTAGTGTTTAAGTCAAGAAAATTTTTCCAGAGGAGTAGCATTTGAAATAGGTCTAAATAATAAGTAGGCAATGGATAACTGGAGCCCAAAGAAGTGTCTTTTAGGATCAAAGTCCTGAAATGTGATCCTAAATTATAAAACTGAAAGACATTTTGTCTGGACACTGAGGGAAAAAGAATGACTTGAAGTAAGCCAGGCCATTCTATGAAGGTCTTTAGTGGTCTAATTCAGGATGATACTTTTTCTAAAAGCAACAAGAGACACTGAATGGTTTTAAGCAGAGGTATAAGGTTGATTAATTATTTTTAAAGCAATCTTTTTAATTCAGTTTGTATTTATGTACAACGAACAGATGTTAAAGGTAGAGTTTAGTTTTTTGGGCAAATATATACACCTATGTACAACTACCTGAGCAAGAAATAGAACATTTCCCCACCCCTGTAAGTATCCTCATGCTCCTTTGTAATAAATTCCTGACCCCAGAGCCAACTACTGCTACTATTTCTATCACCATAGAATGATTTTTCCTGTTCTAGAACTTTGTAAAATTAGATCACACAGTATTTTACCATGTGTCTCTAGCTTTTTTCACTCAACATAAAGTTCCTGAGATTCTCCATGTTGCTTATGTTTATTCATTTTATTTCTTTGTAGTGTTCCTTTGTGGGAATATATCACAATGTGTTTGTTCCATCACCTGTTGACAGACATAGTTTCAGAATTAAACCTTTTTTTTCACTTAATAAAGCTGCAATGAATATTGATTGTTTATCTTTTTGTGGACATATGGTTTTACTTTCTTGGATAAAAAGCTTCCAAATGAAATTTCTGGCCCACAGAATGAGCATATGTTTAACTTCATTAGAAATTTCCCAGCAGTTTTCCAAAGTTACTTTTGTCATTTTACTCTCCAATCAGCCATGCCCTAGGGTTCTAGGACCTCTACATTCTCATCAACACTTGATACTGTCATCTTTCTTTTAGCCATTGATTGGACACAGGTGGTATTTCACTGTGTT